TTTGTAAGGAGGAAGCAGCGACGCGAGGCTGGGGGAGAGCGGCCTTCCAGGCCGAGGGGACCACGGAGCCTCCGCGGCAGCAAGCAGCCGGCTGGACTTTAGCAACAGAAGGAAGGTGGACGTCCGAGAGAGCCCTGAGCACGCAGAGGGTGTGAACCAAATGGAGGGGAGCCGGCACTTTGCAGACATGATCCACTTCACTCCAACAGCAGTGGGGAACCACAGAGAGGCTTTCAGCAGGAGCGGAGAATCGGTGGCGGAAGCTATAAGGATGCCCCCGTTTCTGGGTGGAGAAGAGACTGCCAATGAGCAGGCCTGTTAGGAGAAACAGTCGCGAGTGAGTGCTGATAAGGGTCGGCCAGTTGGAGGTGGTGGAGATGGGGAGAGGTAATCCAGGTTTAGGATATACTCTGGAGAGCCGGTGGATTAAATGAGGTCATCTGCGTACGGAAGGGGCTCCATCAGATGCTTCGGTAGAGAACAGAATCTGGGACAGCAGGCCCGTCACAGTTGCCTAAGTCAGAGAGGAATTTGGCAAATACTGAGGTCACAGAGCAGATTAGCAAGCTGGTTAGACCACTCTTTTTTTTAAAAAAAAGTTTTAGATTTTTAAAAAATTAATTAATTTGGTTTTGACTCCACTGGCTCTTCGCTGCTGCAAGGGGGCTAGCTCTAGTTGCAGCGAGCGGGGGTTGCTCTCTAGTTGCGGAGTGTGGGCTTCTCAAGGTGGTGCTTTCTCTTGCTAGAGCACAAGCTCTAAGGGGCATTGCTTCAGTAGCTGTGGCTTGTGGGCTTAGCTGCTTTGCACGTGGCATGTGGGGTCTTAGTTCCCTGAGCAGGGATCAAACCTGTGTCCCCAGTGTTGGCAGGCAGATTCTTAACCACTGGACCACCAGGGAAGTCCCTTGACTACTCATTTTTCTGTGCCACTTGGGCAAGTCACATTGAGGACCTCAGTTTCCCCATTCAGAAATGAGGAGTGGACCAGGTGACCACTAAGGCAGCTGCCAGAGCCAACATCCTGTGAGTCATTTTTACGGAACATATCAGTCAGGGTTTGATTGAAGAAGCAGAGTCACTCTGAGTGAGGTAGAATCAAGAATTTATAATAAGCGTCAGACCTTACAAAATGCGGAAGCCAGTGGAAAGTACTCTGCAAAGGTACTGGATTGAAGGGACTGCAATCAACAAGAAAAGCTCCGCACAAAGTTTGGGAAGTCGAGGGCACATTGGAACTACAGCGACAAACTGAACAGGGGTTTTGGAGGCTTCCCTGGTGGTTCAGACGGTAAAGCATCTGTCTGCAATGCAGGACACCTGTGTTCGATCCCTGGGTCGGGAAGATCCCCTGGAGAAGGAAATGGCAGCCCACTCCAGTATTCTTGCCTGGAAAATCCCATGGACAGCAGAGCCTGGTAGGCTGCCATCCATGGGGTCGCAAAGAGTTGGACACGACTGAGCGACTTCACTTCCTGCATTGCAGGCAGATTCTTTGCCAGCTGAGCTAAAGAATTCTAAAGACAGTGGCACAATCCCGCTTTCACCTAACATGACCCATCTGTCGCTTGTGCAACTGAAAACATCACCCCATCTAAAGTCCCTTTATCCTCCTTTGGGTGATAGTCATTCTTTCTCTAACAGTCACGCTCTCCTTTGATAACTTGTCCTTTTACTTCTGCTTTGGTTATACGATGCTGAGTAACAAACCAACCTAAACCTATAGGCATTGCAACTGACTGAATGTTTGTGTCCTTTCAAAATTCATTTGTTGATTTTCGCCATATAAGTTAATTAAAAATAAATAAATAAAGGAAAAAATTCGTATGTTGAAACCCCAGTCCCCAATATGTCTGTATTGGAAATGGGGATTTGGGGAGGTGATTGGGTCACGAGGGCGCGTCCTCATGAATGGGATTAATGTCCTTACAAAAAAGACCCTGGAGAGCTCCCTTCTTCCTTCTGCTATGTGTGCATGCATGCTCAGTTGCTCAGTCATGTTTGACTTTTTGCTACCCCTTGGGCTTCAGCCCACCAGGCTACTCTGATTATGGAATTCTCCAAAGAATACTGGATTCGGTTGCCATTTCCTACTCCAGGCGATCTTCCCAACCCAGGGATCACACCCATGTCTCCTGCATCTCCTGCAAAGGCAGGCAGATTGTATTCCACTGATCCACTTGGGAAGTCCCTGCTATGTGAGAACACAGCAAAAAGGCAGACGTCTGCGAACCAGGAGGTGGGTCCCTTCCCCCTGAATCTACTGGTTCCTTGGTCTCAGACTTCTCAGGGTCCACAGCTGGGAGAAACAAATTTCTATTTGTAAGACACCCGGTCTGTGGTACTTTGATACAGCAGCTCAAATGGACTAAGACAGACATAAAACAATAACCAATATGGGTTTTGTGTGTCAGGAATTTGGAAAGGGTGTAGCAAGGATGATTCTTCTCTGCCCCGTAAGGTCTGGGCTGGGATGATTCAAACAGCTGGGAGTAGGAGGAGCTGGGGCCAGAGACCCCATTTCCAAGATGGCATCTTCATTCACAGTTCTGGCACGTGGCCTGGGATGACTGAAGGACAGATCTGTCCAGGACTGTCTGCTCGAAAGCCCACAGGTGGCCTCTCCTGTATAGTGGTATCAAGGTAATTGGACATTACAAGGCTGCTCAGAGCTCTAGAATGAATTTCCCAGTAAATAAGGTAGAAAGTGCGTGATTTCACGACGTAGCTTTGGGAGTCACCTAGTGCCACATCATATTCTATTGGTTGAAGGATTCCAGAGTCAAGGAAAAGGAGCATACATTCTGCCCTTTAATGGGAACAAGGTCAAAGAAACTGAGGCTATGGTTTAAAACCACCATCTGTAACTCTGTCTAATCCAGTTCATGCTTATCCTCAGCAGATGGCTGGCTCACCCATTGGTAATTATTTAGCACCATTTTCATCCCTGTTCATTTCTCACCTGTGTCACCCAATGAGTGATGCCTATAAGAATGTTATTACAGGTGCCTTCTTTTCCATGCTTCCCAAGCTTTCTTGGAAACTTACACATGCCTCACAGCTAAACTCACATTCCAATTTTTCTACAAATGTATCACTCTCAGGTGATCCCCTAAATTATAACTCCTTGGCTTGAGACCCCTGCTTACTGCCTGTCTTGAAGCATGTATGATTCCTAATGACTGACAGTAATGAGATGGGTAGTCAACTAGCCAACAAACAGTGATAAGAAAATGTCGAGCTAATTTATGAAGTAGAGAAACAGGCTTCTGAATCAAACAACAATTTGAGCCAATACACTTTTCTACCTTACAGGATTTAGGAATTGGCACAATAAAATAGAAAAGATAAATGACTGGTAAAACAACCAAGTTCAGAAGAGAGCTGAAAGCTGACTTGCAGGAGCGGCTCATACATAGACGCGACCATCATTCTGGGACCAGCTAGGCTGTATTTTTGGTGGTCATCTGTATCCAGCACACAATGAAGGTTCTTTTTCTGAAGAACTAGAGCACTTATAGCTTGAACATTCATTCATTTGTCTAAGTATCTATTGAGTGCTTTCCTTGGGTCAGGTGGTATTTTTCTTTGCTGTTTAACAGCACAATGGTGAAAAGGACACAGCCTCAGAGGGTTTTGAAGGAGACAGAGGAGAACAAAACAAAATAAAAAACGAAACTGTAAAACAGTAAGGGAGCTCAAGAAAAAGCACTTAACTATAAACAATTTTGTTTCATTCTCAGTCTTAATCTCCTCCGATGTTACTGTCTGCTCTGTGAAGGCAGGGGCCCCCTTTTATATCTGCATACCACTCAGCATCCAGCTCAGTGACACGTCGATAAATGTTTGCATTATGTGTTGCCTCCTGCAAAGATTCTTGATTGCCCATCTGTACATTAAACCATCACCACCAACAACAGTGTCCTCTATAACACCTTATGCTTGGAAGGAGGAATAACCGGGCTTTGACTCCATGACACCCAAGAGTTCTGTGGTGACTTGATTCTTATATATATTTATATATAAGAATCTGTAAGAATCTGCCTGCAATGCAGAAGACCTGGGTTTGATCCCTGAGTCGGGAAGATCCCCTGGAGAAGGAAATGGCAACCCACTACAGTACTCTTGCCTGGAGAATCCCATGGACAGAGGCACCTGGTGGGCTACAGTCCACTGGACACAACTGATTGACACTTTCACTTTACTTAACCCCTTGGGGCCTCTGATTCCTCAGCTTTGAGCTAGATTAGTGTTCCCTTCTGGTTCACTCAGTCTACACATTCTTGGGTGCTAGGGAAGACGCAGCGCTCAGACTGCACACAGATGGGATGGGGCATGGCTTATCCCCTGCTCTGTGGCCCCGCAGTAAATTCCCAATCCTTATGAGGTTTTAGTCGCAGTGAATTTCTCCTTCAAAAACCAAACAGGATAATAACGAACCACTTTCTTACATTTTCTATCAAGACAGCTCTTTGTGAGTTTTAAATGTTCTGTCCAGATTCAAAGAAGCTGGTTTCTTCATGAGTGGTTGGAATAAGACTTTTCTTGGAAGCTACTGAATATGGATTAGTTGGATTGTTTCGCAGGAAATAAATAGCAGGCTCTAGGGTGACTACTTCAGCACTTAATTGGGTTAGCAAAGAACTGCAAATGAGAGGTTTCCCTTAGGAGGGAAAGGATGTTTATGGGCCACCTCCCCCACCCCCTAGGTGGTGGATTTTAACCTAAACGTTAGCCTGTAAATGCAGCCTTTAATTTAGGAACCATTACAAGAATCTATTAGAGCAGAAAATGTCAGGTTGAAAAATTAACACATCACAGGAGTTAATTAGAACCCAGCCTCTCATTAGATGCAAATGGAGAGCCCTCCAACTGCCCAAGAGCCCGCTGAAGTCATGTTTGTTGCTGCTCCAAAGTGGTTGCATCTTTGTTACTCAGGGAGTGGATGGAGGAAGCTGCCCAGGCTCTCAGGCCAGAGCCACTAGGGACCCCTGGCCCATCCTTTAGGTTAACAGAAGGTCTGTTCTCAAGTCCGTATCTTTGACTCCTCTCTTGGGCCTCCCAGATACCTCAGTGGTACAGAATCCGCCTACCAATGCAGAAGACGCAGGTTCGATCCCTGGTCCAGTAATATTCCCTGGAGGAGGAAATAGCAACCCACTCCAATTTTCTTGCTTGAAAAATCCCACAAACAGTGGAGCCTGGTGGGCCATCGTCCACGGGGTCATAAAGAGCTGGACATGACAGAGTGGCTGAGACTCAGCACGCACCTCTCTTGAACAGTGCATGTCGCAGGGCGGGGAGCCTGCTGCCTGGAACTCCCTTGGGGAAGCATTTTCTGCAACAAAGACAAACATGCCATGCCTGTCACCAGGCCCAGATTGGCGACTGTGTAAACCACTTGGTGAGAGGGAGGCTCCAGGCCATTCAGACTTAGCTCTAAGTCGTGGGCTTTGTTTTCCTTCCACATTCAGACTGAAATGTGATTCCCCGGGCTTTCTTTTTTGGAAAATACCTGCGATGAGTTCCATGCTGGGAAAGAAAAGCTGTTGACAGGAAAAGCTTCTGACGGGCAAGGGGCTTTTTCAAGGGCTCTCAAAGGAGACAGTCGCACCAAGCAGGCCGAGGCAGAGATGGCAGGACTCTAGGAATGAGAGGTCCAGATCACAAAAGGGTTATCTGTAACCATGGATTAGGTGGGGTTTCGGGCAGCTTCCTCTGTGAACACGGCGCCACGCACACAGACTTTCAGGCCGGAAGATACGCATCTTCTCTGTCACTTACTGTGTGTTCTTGGGCAAACGGCTTACCCTCTTGGAACGTCAGTTTGCTGAGGCCGCTGTGTGAAATAAATGCATGCAAAGTGTGTAACACCATATCTGGCGCAGAGGAAAAGTCCTACATGAGTTATCTGTTATTGATTTGATAGTAGTATTCCTTGAGCCAACACAAGGAGCTGCCTCTGTGTGCTAGGCCCTGTGCACGGACAGCTCCTGCTTCTTGGCCTCATAGAATCCACTGCTTAAGAAACCGTGTACACAAATCTTTAGCAGAAAGCAAACCCCTCTGCCCTCCTTGCAAGTGCCCAAGGAGAAGTGCCAACTGCCCACAGCTCTGCTTTGTCGAGGAGCTCAGAATTCTACCCTTTGAAAAGCCCTCTAAATTCAGCTACTTCTACCTTCAATTTAGCCAGCGTTCTCTCTGTGGGCACTTACACATGGAGTTACTGTTATCTGTATATTGTCTCCTCCTGTGAGTTCCTACAAGGTGAGAACCGTCTATTCATTTAATTCATTTATTCATCTCTGCAGGCCAGTGGTCTCATGCATTACTCTGCAAAGATAAAGAGAAGATTCAACCCTACTGCTGAATACACACAAAAAAGTTCCCAGCTCAGAACTTTTCTGGGGAAATAACCCTGCTACCCCCCCGACTCCCACTTTTTTCATTTTTCAAAGGCCTCCCTTGAGCCTCTGTTTTTTCCCTTTCATTTTCTAACAATCACTGGTTCTGACAGCAGTTTCTTCATTTCTTTGAGGGGAAAATAGTCTCCTTCCCTGGAAGGTTATGATGATGGCTGGAGACCTTGCAGTTTGTATGTGCCTAACACACTTTAGGCACAAAGCCAGATAGCAAAAAAAAAAAAAAAAAAAGATTCCATTCTTGCCCTTACCCAGGACCGGCTGGTAATAACAAGGCATAATGTGATTACCACATGAGTGGTACTGAGGTCCTTTCAACTTGCATCCACCTCTGCCATAGGCTAGACTTACCTGAAATGGGAGGACATAAACACACATTAGAAACTTGGTCCCTGTCACCAAGTTCTTGGAGCACTGTGGTAAGTGTTGGACAAAAAGCTCTCAAGAAGAGAGCAGAAAGCTCTTAACCCAGATCCTTAGACCTGGGCTGCAGGAGATTTCCACAACATCAACAATAACCAAGTTATTTGGCACTTACGGGCCAGTCAGTGTGCGCAACAATTTACACACATTATCTCATTTAAGTCAGAACAACTGTGTGGGGTAGATATGGACTTCCTTATTTTACAGGTGACCCATCTGAGGCTCTGCGAGGCACACTGGCAGTCCTGCAAGGACTAAATCGTTTAGGAATCCACCTGCTGAGGCTTTAGTGGAGAGTGTGGGCTAGCACCAAGCTCGGCCGAAGGAGGGGAGGGTGGGGAGAAGGGCTGGGAATGAGAGGGTAAAGCTGGATCAAAACATGGTTGGCATGATCCCCAGGACCCCCGCAGAAGCAGAGAAAGTTGGAAAGAGATGCAGGAGGCAGGGCGGGGTGAGGGGGGATGCCCGGAAGGCTGGGGGAGGGCAGCCTTCCCGGCCCCCTCCCCATCCCGCCAGCACCTCCTGCACAGGTCAAGCTTCTCCCCTCCCGCCCTCTCGCCCTCCCAACCTTATTTAGAAACCGTGTCCCCGAGACAGGAAGGGCGGCGGGCCGAGAAGCACGGAGCGTCCCGGTCTCATTTCCTCTCGAATCCCCCTGTGGAATTTCATTTCGTACGGTGAGGAAATCGGAGCGCGAGGCAGTAGGCGGCTCCGGGGCGCCCCCCTCCCCCGACTCGCGGCTGCTGGTCGGGCCGAAGCGGGGGGCGGGAGCAGGGCCGGGCTGCACGCCGGGCGGGTTGGGGGGCGCACGAAGCCGCGCGCCCGCGCCGTGCCAGGCGCAGGGCCCCGCGTGCGAAAAGCCTTATCGCTCTGATCCTCCCCAGTCTCTTTACGGGCGAGAACCCCGACACCGAGAGGCCGAGCGGTTAGCTCCGGGTCACACAGCCGGCAGTTTAAAAACCACGATCTTCGTAAATAAGCCCGAAACCCTGTTTCTTTGTGTACGTTTCGCTGCCCGATGGGGAAGCGGCCAGGGGCCGAGGAGACAGCTGGGGGGCAGCAAAGGGAGCCGGCGGGATCTGGGGGCGCGCCGCCCCCCCGGGAGAGAAGGGGCGCGCGGGCCGGGCTGGGAGAGCCGCTGCGGCCTCCGCTCCTGGCCCCAGAGCGCCGCGCACCGGGTGGGAGGGAGGCGAGCGCCAGGGAGCGGGGCGGGCCGCCCGGGGCCGCGGGGCGGGGTGCGGGGCGGGCGGCGCGCAGCCACTGGATAGGCGCACCGTCCGTCGCGCTCCGGGCCCGCCCCCGCGAACCTCCAGCGCCGCCTCGGGCTCGGGCGGCGGAGCGGCGCGGCGGCGCGGGGTGCTGGCGGGCTCGGCGGAGGCGCTGCTCGGACGTGGCCGGCGCCGGCCCGGGGCTCGCCGCCCGTAGCCATGACCCCCTCTGGCCGTCCTCCGGCCCTGGCTCGCGGAGTCTAGTGCCCCCACGCAGTCGCGCGCAGCTGCGGGAGAGCCAGCCGCTACCCCTCCGCCCCGGCGTCGTCGCCCTTGGCGCCTTATCGCCCTCTCCCCGGAGCCCGGAGCAGCGCGGGCGGCCGGCGGCCCCGTGCAAACTGGGGGTGTCTGCTGGAGCAGCCCCCCGCGCCGCCGCCGCCGCCGCCCCCGGCTCTGGCCATGGCCTGGCGGGGCGCAGGGCTGCGCGTCCTGGGGGGCCCCGGGGGCGTCGGGCTCAGTCCGCAGCGGCTGCTGCTGCTGCTGCTGCTCGTGGGGCCGGCGCGGGGCTTCGGGGACGAGGAGGAGAGGCGCTGCGACCCCATCCGCATCTCCATGTGCCAGAACCTGGGCTACAACGTGACCAAGATGCCCAACCTGGTGGGGCACGAGCTGCAGACGGACGCCGAGCTGCAGCTGACCACCTTCACGCCGCTCATCCAGTACGGCTGCTCCAGCCAGCTGCAGGTGGGCGCCCCCTCCCCGGGCGGGACCCCTGGGGCAGGGGGACGCCTCCGAGCCCCGGACTCACTCCCCGGGGCCCTTGCCAGGTCGAGCCCCCTGTGCCCTACCTAGGTCTCAAGGAACGATATCTATCCGGGAAAAGTGATTTCCATCCCCACCCCCACTTTGCTGTCCCTCCTCAGGGACTGGAGGCCAAAACGTTGTGTAAGTCATCTGGCCTGCGAAAGAACCCGCTCTGCACCCCGCCCTTCCGTCTTTCTCCTCTGCCCACCCGTGTCTGGCCAAGCCCCTAACCCCAGCGGAGCTGAGAGTTATCTTTGCCAAGGATTCTGGCCGCCGCTGCTCGGTGGGCGAGTCCTCTGCACGGCAGCCAGTTGCAGCTAAGACTTGGAAGGGAGTGATAAGGAGACAGGGAATTTCTGCTCCCTCGCCGACCTCCTTTCTCCCCCGTATTTTTTGGGTGTGTTATTAAATGCAACACCCCGGCCCGTTTTCTGCAGAATGGCCCCTCGCGTTGTCTTGCATGATTGTAGAGGTCATGCTGTAGATATAGAGGTTGCGCTGGCTTGAGTCCCTTCTTATTCTCAGGGTTAAGGGCGGGTTTAGTACCTGGAGGGGCAGAAGGCATCACTTGGGGAAGAGGTGATATAGTAGGGTCAAGCTCCAGAAGGTAGTTTGTATATTGGAAGGTTTTTTTTTTCTTTTTTCCCAGTTAAAAATGTTAAAGCTTATGTAGTCATATAAAAAATGTTCTTCCTAACATAATAAGTGAAGCAAGAATTTGTATACACGGGTGATTATAATCTTACCACAATGACAAGTTCACTAAAAAAAAAAAACTGGAAGGAAACTTTGAAAAATGTTAACACTGGTTGTGTTTCTGTTGGAAAGGCTATGAGTGATTTTTAGAAATTTAGAAAAGAGAGAACTGGTGGGGGGTGGGGTGGGGTGGGAGTGGAGGGGAATAGAGGATAGTTCTGTAGTTATCCAGGCTGAAAGCTTTGGAAATCTGTGGTTCTGGTTGTAACTTCTAAGAGATAAACAGGCAGGCAGTTGACTTACTAGGTGCATGTTTTTACATAGGTCATCTGAAAAGTTGGATGGTGGTTTCAGAGGGATGGTTGGGATTAGACCTGTTGCTGGTGAAATGTCCCTGTGGAAGTGTCAGGATTTTAGAACTAGGTTATAAAAGCTTAGGAAAGTGATTCTCGAGCTCTCAGTTTGGAAACAACACATATCCTGACATCAGTGGCAATTTTGTTGGCAAAACAGCTTTTCAGGGATATATATTTTTAATTACATGTATCCTGGGGAGGCAGCCAAGCTGTTTTGAAGGACAGGACGAGATCCCTTTACATGCTGGAAAATAGTTACTTGTAACTCTAGACTTCATAGACAACATCTGTAAGGAGCCAAGCAGACTGTTTATCAATGCTGGAGGAATTGAGGACAGCAACTGGACTCTCCCCTGCTGGTATTGCAGTTTCAGGGACTGAACATTTGTATTTTCCTATTGTACTTCATTATTATTCATTGAGGAAACCTGGCCAAACAAAGCCCCAGATACCCAGAGATTTCAACGTTTAACAGTGTCTCAATGAGGACATTTTCTGTTTCAATATGAGACTGGTTAAAAAATAATTTGGGGGAATAAAATAGAGGAAGGAGAGACTATTAACATGACAAAAGCCGGATCTACTTTTTTTTTTTAATATTTATTTTTATGGTAGTAAAGAAATTGGGATAAAAATAAATCACCCCATCACCCAGAGAACTGAGTCAGACTGATCAGTCTGACTGATCTTTCAAATAGTAGCTGAAAGGGGAGGGAGGCTCAAAGTCAGCTCTTTAAGGCTTATTTCCCTAAGTGTTGTGCAAAAGGGGATTATGTAATGCTTTGGGTCCCTTTTATATATTTATTTATCTATGTTCTCCTGGAAAGGGTTTACTAGACCCAGAAGAAGAAAAGGGTGTAAGTGATAGATTATTAGGCAAGCTCATTCGAGGTCAGAGTCAACAGATACCCCTATAGACCTATTTAAAAGTAGATATGGACTTTGCCCAGAAGCAAGTCAAATTTGTGCAAGCCTTCAGTCAGACTTCCATGTCAACTGTCACTGTTTTCTCTGTTCGTTTCATGACTTTTTTCCAGTTCTTCCTTTGTTCCGTTTATGTGCCCATGTGCACGGAGAAGGTCAACATCCCCATTGGGCCCTGCGGCGGGATGTGCCTTTCGGTCAAGAGACGCTGCGAGCCTGTGCTGAAGGAGTTTGGCTTTGCCTGGCCGGAGAGCCTAAACTGCAGCAAATTCCCGCCCCAGAACGACCACAACCACATGTGCATGGAAGGGCCAGGTGATGAGGAAGTGCCCTTGCCTCACAAAACCCCCATTCAGCCCGGGGAAGAGTGCCACTCCGTGGGAACCAACTCGGATCAGTACATCTGGGTGAAAAGGAGCCTGAACTGCGTTCTCAAGTGTGGCTATGACGCCGGCTTGTACAGCCGCTCAGCCAAGGAGTTCACCGACGTCTGGATGGCCGTGTGGGCCAGCCTGTGCTTCATCTCCACCGCCTTCACTGTGCTCACTTTCCTGATCGATTCTTCCAGGTTTTCCTACCCGGAGCGCCCCATCATCTTTCTCAGTATGTGCTATAATATTTATAGCATTGCTTATATTGTCAGGCTGACTGTAGGCCGGGAAAGGATATCCTGCGATTTTGAAGAGGCAGCAGAACCTGTTCTCATTCAAGAAGGCCTTAAGAACACAGGATGTGCAATCATTTTCTTGCTGATGTACTTTTTTGGAATGGCCAGTTCCATCTGGTGGGTTATTCTGACGCTCACTTGGTTTTTGGCAGCGGGACTCAAATGGGGTCATGAAGCCATCGAAATGCATAGCTCTTATTTCCACATTGCAGCCTGGGCCATCCCCGCGGTGAAAACCATTGTCATCTTGATTATGAGACTGGTGGACGCGGATGAGCTGACTGGCCTGTGCTATGTGGGGAACCAGAACCTGGATGCGCTCACGGGCTTTGTGGTGGCCCCGCTGTTCACCTACCTGGTGATTGGGACTTTGTTCATTGCTGCGGGGTTGGTGGCCTTGTTCAAAATTCGGTCAAATCTCCAAAAGGATGGGACGAAGACAGACAAGCTGGAAAGGCTGATGGTGAAGATCGGGGTCTTCTCGGTCCTGTACACCGTGCCTGCAACCTGCGTGATTGCCTGTTATTTCTATGAAATCTCCAACTGGGCGCTCTTCCGGTATTCTGCAGATGACTCCAACATGGCGGTGGAAATGTTGAAAATCTTTATGTCTTTGCTGGTGGGCATCACTTCGGGCATGTGGATTTGGTCTGCCAAAACTCTACACACGTGGCAGAAGTGTTCCAACAGATTGGTGAATTCTGGGAAGGTAAAGAGAGAGAAAAGAGGGAATGGTTGGGTGAAGCCTGGGAGAGGCAATGAGACTGTGGTATAAGGCTAGCCAGCCTCCACGCTTTCCAGATTTTGAAGGGGGAATGCCAGCATTGGGGTGCAAGTGCTACTAAAAAGCTTCATGCAGTGAATCTCAGTTTGAACAAACTAGCAACACTTCAGTGACCACCCCCCCCAGTAACCCACCACCACTCTCCCCCCCGCTGCCCATCTGCGCCCAGCATCAGAAAACTAGTGATTTTGCTGCAGACTTTGGAATGATCCAAAATGGAAAAGCCAGTAAGAGGCTTTCAAAGCTGTGAAAAATCAAAACATTGATCACTAGAGCAGGTCGCAGCTTGGAGCATGGAGGTCCTCCCGAGATTCCAGGAAGTCCAGGGGATGCTGCTTTTCCCTGCAGGGTGGGATTTGAGCTGTGAGTAGGCAACTTACAGGGAGAAAGATTAACTTTTTTTTTTAACCCTTCAAAAGTTTGAAATACTAACTGGGTCTTTGAGACAGCAAAGCGATCTATAAACACTGGAAACACTGGGTTCAGAGAAGTGTTACAAGAGTTTTATAGTTTGGCTGATCTAACATAAACATTTTCCGGGTGCACTGTCTGCTGTTTAGAACTTTGTGGATTGCTCGCCCAAGAGGTGGTGTCAGAATCTTTCAGTGCCTTTGTCATAAAACAGAATTGTTTGAACAAACAAAAGTACTGTACAAACACATATGAGGTATCCCGTGGATTTTTCTTCTCTCTCTCCCTCTTAAATTTCAACAGCTCCGTCCTAGACCGCTGCTGTTTTCTCCATTTTACATTAATGACTCAAAATAGGTATTTTTATAGGAATGTTTGCACTGCAGCGGGTCTAATGAGGGGGAAAGGAAGGGTGATTCACTTTCTTGACAATCACTTAATTCAGAGGAAAATGAGATCTACCAAGTCGACTTACCTTACCCACCCCAGAGACCGATTGCATTGAGCACCAGGGACGTAATATATTTTACTTTGTGTGATTGTATCTATGCAGACGCCAGTCTGGAAGAGCTAAAATGTTACGTTTCTTGGCAACTTTGCATTCACACAGATTAACTGTATAATTTGTGTGTGTCAATTACAATTAAAAGCACATTCTTGGACCATGACTTAATAGTTACTCAACTGACTTTAAAACTATGGTCAGCTTGCATTCTCAGAATGATAGTGCCTTTTTTTCTCTCTTTAGCATAAGAATGTTATCAGAGTCTGGTCTACTTAGCACAGTGGAGACTTTCAATTTTGTAGAGGGAGCTAAGGACAACTAATCCAAACTACTTGGTGCATAATTGTTTCCTAGTAATTGGCAAGGGCTCCGTATAAGATTTCATTGGAGGCAGTGTGGCCTGGAGTATTTATGTGGTGCTTAATGAATCTCCAGAATACCAGCCAGGAGCTTGATTGGTTCGTAGGGAATAAAGTGTAGACCATATGAAATGAACTGCAAACTCTTACAGCACAGGTCTTAATTGCATTTTGCAGGGGTATCCAGAGCTTTTAAAATGTATGCTTTATATGCCTTGCAAGAGGGTACCCCCTAGCAGCCTCTCAAAAGTTGCAGTTCTTTTAAAATTGTAACTGGCCTTTCTCTTCAACCCGCTGAGGTCCTCTGATCACCAGATCTTTGGGGGACAGATTGATGTCACAGGTTGCTGTCCTTGAAGTTCTGCTTGGTCTTTGCTTTAGCAACTTTGGGATGATTCTTTATTTATCCCTGCCCTTCCCCCCCCTCCCCCTTTAAAACAGGTAGGAAATCTCTTTTATCCCATTTCTTTGTGGAAACGTGTTTCCAGGGACTAAAAATTGCAAATAGGAGTTCAGATTCTGGAAATAAGCATGTCTTTGTTTGAGCTTTATGCTCCTTTCTTCTCTGTTTTGCTGTGGTTCTCGAGCTGAGATGAAGATGCGCGTAAGGACTGTTGCCTGTTTTGGAAGGCAAAGTCTTGGGGCCTCGTGCACAGATGCTAAGTGGGCACTGGTGGCCCCCACTGTGTGTTCTGGGCCTGACCACCTTGGCTGACTCTGGGTCAGGGCTCCAGGAGCATGAGAAATGCTCCCCAGAAGGACCAGTTGAACTCCATCTACGACTGCATCGCCCCTGAAATGTAGAATGTGAACTCCCCGTGCTGCTCCCAGACGGTTCCCATAGCTGGCCGGGGTCCTGGAGCGTGCACCCAGGGGCAGAGCCTGCCCTTACTCACGCTCCTCTCCAGTGTCTTGGGAGTTGCTCGGTGACTCCGGCCGAGGAAAGGGAAGAAGGACCGCGCAGGGGTTTGCAACGCAATTCTCTTTGTAATGCTTCAGTGACTGGGTGACCGAGGCAAGCATCCTAGCAGAGGGCCAGCCATGGAGAGGGTGCTCTGTGTTTATGAATGATGAAATAATGACAGTAAGAGTACTTGGGTGAACCTGGATGCCTAAGTTCTGGAGCTTTCTGGGTTGTAGAATGTCTCTTCCATAAATCTCTTGCCTTCTCGGGGAAGTATATTTGATCGGAACTGGCTATTGGCACACACTGGCAATGTCACAGGATTATAGGTTGTTCCTTTCACATTCTGTTTACGGTTTTAGGAAAGGAGTTTTGTGGCTGAGGAGTTAGTTATCAGTTACCTTGAAGTGAGTTATCATCACCTCTTAAGTTGGTTTGAAAAAAAGTTAAGTAGCAGCACATTTATTGAATGCCAGCTGTGTGTCACGCCCTGTGTTAGGCACCTTAAGGGACATCGGGGAGGATCAACTCTGTTCCTCTAACCAATCCGACCTGGTTCTGCTAAACTTTTCCATTGGTTTCAGGAGGAGCAGGGGCTCCTGCATTGCCACCCGTTTCACTGTCTCCATCCCATAAACCTCTTCCTGGGTCTTTCTAACTGCAACCCATCACTCAGCCCTTCCCAGGGTTCCTTGCAAATCGATGTGCAGGGGTTTTGCTGGGAAGCATCAACTCTGTTACAGGACAGTCTCTATGGAAACCTCCCCGGACGATCATGAACCTTGCCTCCACCTAATGTGGCTTCCGGGGCAGGCCGTTCAGGGCTCGGGGTTTTCTAGTGACTTGCGCGTGCATGCTAAGTCACTTCTGTCATGTCTGACTCTGTGACTCTGTAGGCTGTAGCCCACCAGGCTCCTCCGTCCAAAAGGATTCTCCATGCAAGAATACTGGAGTGGGTTGCCATGCCTTCATCCAGGAAATCTTCCCAACCCAGGGTTCAAACCTGAATCTCCTGCATTGGAGGCAGATTCTTTACCACTGAGCCGCCCGGGAAGCCCATCTAGTGACTCACAGGTGAATTTGAGGACAGCAGCTTCCTAGGGAAAAGGTTAGGGTTCTTCCTCTTTCTCAGATATCCAGGAGAAGCAGGTATATAATTGTAACTTCCTACAAAATCCCTCGGCCTCGAAAAGGCCCAAGGGCACCTCTGTCAGCTTCCTCTCTGGCAGGCTCCTTTCTCCTCCTCCATAAGGGCCACACCTCAGGGCAGAGGAACCTGGGGAGAGTGAAGCTGACCAGAACCGCCTGATGGAGCGCCTTGGTTGAGTCATATCCTTTTTCCTCTGTGGAGACCCGTTTCCTGATCCCTGAGACTGCTCCTGAACTGGCAGCTTGCTCAGGGACCTCAGCCAGGAGGAGGAGGGACACTCATTTGTTTCCCCGAGGTTCTCTCTGACTTTGCTTTCCCCTGGCCCTCTGTCTCCCACGTCCCCCAAACCTGGACCCCAGGAAGCTTCTGTGTCTGGATTCTGACACTACCAGCACCCCAGCTCTGTCCTCTCTGCCCCGCCCCCACCCCGCCCCGCCTCCTGGCCACTGAATAAGTGTTGGGAACCCAGCTGAGACCTGAGGGTGTGAAGGGGGACCCCACAGCCTCAGCCCTGGAGGGCAGACTCACTTGAGATTTCAGCAGGATGTGCACACGCCGGCTTCCCGTGAGGGGGCCACCACCGCAGCTGGAAGAGGGCTGTAGAGTGCCCCCTGGGAGGAGCCCCCAGAATCCATCTGCGTCCGGAATTTCATTCCGTGATGGGGGAAGTTGGAGAGAATTGCTGTGCCAGCCAATTACATCACGTCATTGGACCCTCGGCGGTTCTTTTTGCTCCTTTTCTGTGCTTGGGCGCAGAGTCCCCCCCTGGGTTTGTATTACGTCTGGCCGGGGACTGGGTTTCTCATCTTTCTCCAGGGCCTGGGGCGTAGATCTTGGAAACTCCTCGCAGAGCAAGGATCAGATCCCAGAGCCTTAACTAATGGATTTTGTTGCGCTGTGGCCTTGGCAGAGCAGTCTGCTGCCGCCTCTTGTCCTGGTGTGTATGGTGATGCCCACTGGGCATTACCCGGAGAGAAGTGAACCCCGGAGCCCCGGACCCCGCCCCGACAGGCCTCTACCCCGCGGTAAACCCTCTTGCTGTTTCCGTTTCTGATTTACCTTGTTTCCCTTCTTCTTTGCACCAGCAAATCCCCAGTATTCACCCAGGCAACTTGAGGGCCTGCCTGGGGACCCATGAGCCATGTCCTCCAAGCTTACGGAGCTCCCTGATGGCCTACAGTATTCGGTATATGACCACTGTCATCCCAGCAGGCTTCCCCGGAGGCTGCGCGCGCCCCTGCCCCCCGGAGCCCGAGTCCATCTGCCCTCCCACCATCCTGCCAAGGGCTGGGGCCGGCCTGGCTGGGGCCTTTGGGAAGGCGACGCTGATGTCTCTCCCAGTGGGGCATCTAGGTGGCCCTGAATCTCTTCCTACCTCACAGGGATGTTGTGAGACTAGACGGGAGGAGGACAAAGGTTCCCTGAGCTCTTGGTAGGCAAGGCGGAGTGAGCATCAGGTGTGATCTAGACACAGATGAAATTCCGCCTGCTGCTGTGGTGGACAAACTTGTGCCATGTGGCCTTTCTCAGTCCCCCGGGCAACCCGCAGCCCCAGCCCCCTTGAGGCCACCTTGAGGGACTTTCAGATGTTCGACATTAGAGGTACCAGGCAAAGCCCTACGACCTGCCCAGAACGAATTGCTGAGCGTCAGAAGAAATGGACCGTGCTATCGAGGATGTACAAACGTATGTCTGCATTGATGTCTGTACTGTAAATTTCTAATTTATCACTGTATAAAAAAAAATAAACTTTGCTATTTAATTTTTGTATTAAAGGAAAATAAAGTTTTGTTTATTAGCTGGTGTGTGATTTGGCCTCTTCCTGCAGGTGTCTGAGAGCCCTGGGAAGTACGCTTACCCAGCAGGGAGAAATAAAGAACTGGGTTTGCAGGGCAGAGGCACAGCCTTGTCTTCTTTTTGCTGATGCAGTTTTCCCCCATGGGATTTCTCCTGGGTCAGCCAGCCCTCTGAGGTCCAAGGGCAACAGAATCCATCACTGCTGTGGTCGTCGGTAACTCCCAAGTGGTCACATGATGCTTTGAATGTGACTACAGTTCTCAAGCTGTCACTCCATCACACCCTGCTTTGGCATTTTCAGTACATGTGGTGACCATTTTTACATACCTTCTCAGTCCCTTTGGCTTAATGTTGCAGCCTGAAAAAAGTTTTCTTATCATTGCTAGAGTTCAGGCCACTGAAAAGGGGGAAAGGGAGCTTTTTTTTTTAACTCCAAACTTTTTGGGAAAAAAAGCAAAAAAACCAACCTTTTGTTCCCCCTGGTTACACAATGGTTGTGTGTTGTGTAATCGACATGGGAGTATGTCACATCAGTCAGCCAGGAAAATGACTTCTTCAGCTAATTTTATAAGTTGGGTGGTCTGTGTCCCCATAGCCAGAAAAGTCTTCAGGCCTTTATCAGGACATTGCCATGGGAGCAAGCAATGTTATGGACCACACAGGCACACAGGGAGGGGAGTTATTGCCATCGATTGGAGATGCTGTTGAGGTCCCTGAGGAGAACGTTGGCCCTTTTAAAGAAACCTTTAAGTTTCTTTCCACCCTTCGGTTTTAGCTGAACACCACCCTGTTTTCCTGTGTGTAGAAAGCCCAGGGAGCAAGAATCTGCAATACTCTTCTCCTTCACTGCAGATTGCTCTTGTACTTTTAAGTCCAACTGTACCTGAAGGGAGGCATGTAATTTAAATTCTCTTCCCTGGAAGACAGGCTGTGTGTCTCATTTCATTACCTACTCTAATTATATAGTTACCATGTTAGGGAAAAGTCAACACAATCTGGGGTGAATTCATGATAATCCCCTGATACAAACCCTTTCTGGATAGAAAATACTTTTATTTACATGATTTCATTTTACACTCATGTCACCTTGGAGGTAAGCAGGGTGGGGCGCCACCTCGCTTTAGAAAGGAGAACTGAAACTTAGGGTGAGGGACTTGCCGAGGGGGACCTCTGTAGGTAGGTAGCCTGTTGGCCAGCCAGGCTCTCTCCTGCTTAAGCCCAGGATTTTGTTTTTATTCTATTGGGTTGGCCAAAAAATTCTTCCGGGATTTCCTTACGATGGCATGGGAAACCCCGAACGAACTTTTTGGCCAACCCGATACAGTGAGTTGCAAGTTGAATCGTATCTGCCTCAAAGACACGGAAGTCCTAACGCTCTTTACCTATGAATGTGAATTTCTTTGGAAATAAGGTCTTTGCAGTTATAATCAAGATCAGCTCATACTAGATGCATGCCTGCGTGTTAAGTCACTTCAGTCTTGTCCAACTCTTTGTGACCCCGGGGACTGTAGCCCACTAGGCTCCTTTGTCCTTGGAGTTTTCCAGGCAAGAGTAGTGGAGTGGGTTGCCATTTCCTCCTCCAGGGGATCTTCCCAACCCAGGGATCAAACCCGGGTCTCCTGCTTGGCAGGTGGGTTCTTCAGCACTGAGCCCCCTGGGAAGCCCCATTCCTCTGATGTCTTTACTGCAAATAGTTCACCAAGAATGGATAAATGTTTCGGCAGGCAACTCAATAATGGGACCGGGCCATGAGCTTCTGTTGTTGAAGGATTACGTAAGTGATCACTCTGGTAAGTTTATCTGTAAGCTGGACACCCCTAGAATAAACCCCAGGATCCTGGACACTCAACTGACCTGAACCAGTCTTAGCCGCTCTCCCCCGTCCACCCGCCCCTGATGGGAGCTCCTTATGTAGGGCCGGGACCTTGGCTGGAATGTGGCCGAAGGGTTTTTAGCATTTCTGTCCTGAGAACTGATTTTTTCTCTTTCCCATTTTAGCTTTCACATGCAATCATAATTTTAAAGTTGAGCAGACTCTTGACTAAAGAGGTCAGCCTTGGCCTCCTGTCTTCAGAGTTGCTGTGAACAGAAATAAACCACACTCGGAGAAGGGCGTTGCCCCCTGCTCGGTTTTCCTTCGTGCAGCTGGGGTGTAGGACTGGGAGCATCTTGGTAAATGTTTTGAAAAGATTAGACCTGCAAAGATTTAGTCCAAAAAGTTTTCAAAACAGGAACTTGTTCCCACCCAAAATTCCCAGAGTCGGGAATTTTCCTTCGGACCTTTTCCTTCTGTCTCATCCTTAAGGAGAAGAGAACCCAAGGATTCATCTGCTCTCAGGCAAAGGCTTCCAACTTTTCAAACTCACTGGGAGAAAGAATAAAAAGTAAGATTTATTACATTTCACATCAACTGCCTGATTTTCATCAGCTTCCCGCATGGCTTCCTATAAGCCCCGGATCTGGTTGTCGCCCAAGAACCTGATGAATCTCACGGATAACCCACATTATCAATGGCTTTCTCTCTAAGAGATGAAATGATTGGCTATTTACCTTTTCCAAGATGCCGAAGGACTGCATCGTTTCACTCTAGAGGAATTCAATGCAGAGTGCAAAGCACTGAGACAGGGCTGGTAAGTCACAGAGGAGAACCTTTCCTAATTCCGTCTCTGTCCGTCCACCGCCTTGCCTTTCCATGGGTGTTTCCCTTCGTCTGCCAGGACTCTGCCCTCCTTCAACCAGGCTGTGTCTAGTCTTCCTTCGACACTGAGATCTTAGGTCACCTCTCCTGGGAAGATGTCCCCGACCGACCTTCCAACTTGCCACTTCCTGCCTCCTTTGGCTTCTTCTTTTTAATACTCGTTTATTTGGCTGTGCTGAGGTTTAGTTGCAGCACACAGGGTCTTATGTTGCTGCGCACAGAACTCAGTTGTGTCACGTGGGATCTAATTCCCTGACCAGGAGTCGAACCTGGGCCCACCCACGTTGGGAAGGTGGAGTCTTAGCCACTGGGCCACCAGGGAAGGCCCACTCACATTGCTTCTTACCACCAGTAAGTTTAAGCCTCTGTGCTTTCAACTCTGGGAGCCTTGATTGTACTGTTCATAACAGTCCGTTGATGTATCCTTCTCTCCACCAGAATGAGCAGCCCGATGGTGACTCTGAGTACCCAAAGATGTCTGAGTACCCAAAGATGCCCACCTGCGTGTCCTCAGGGCCTAGCAAGGGTTTTGGAAATATCTGTGCAGAAACTAAGGAAGGTAGGGTAAAAGAAGATGGTGTTTTATCTTGTTGGGTGGGGGCTTTGGTGACAGATGTGGCCAGCATGGGAAAGAAAACCAAAGCTAACAAGAGGCATCACATAGGCCGAAGTTTCTGGAAAAAAGTTTGGGGGGTAGTGGCAGAAAACCCTGTAGTCCTTGGCTGTGAGACTGATCACCTACGCACTATGTTGCTTATTGTCGTCTTTCTTCCCTGTTTTTTCTCTCCTTCTTCTCCCCCCCCCCGCCACCGCCCACCACCCCCAACAAATATTTTCTGAGCGCCTACTGTATGCAGAGTACTGGGGTTGGCTGGGGAGGGGAGAGAGGGAGTGATTGTAGAAAACCACAAAGACAAGGTCCAACTCCGAGTCCAAAAGTACAGATGACGAAACAGAGAAAGAATCCATCTGTTATTAACAAGCTTAAAATTCCAAACCTGGAAAAACAAATCCTCTGTTGCTTAGTAAATATTTGTGGAGTAGCTGAACGAGGGTCCGGCCCCAAGATAACTAAGGCACAACCTTTTCCCTCCAGAATTTCACAGCAACAAACCACATGCCCTCCGTACCTGGGAAAGGCTCCGGACTCGCTGAGGGATCAGAGCTACTATTCCTACTGTGTTCATTGTGTAAGTTCTTCCTAATCTGAGTCCCAGGGCTTTGTTTAGTGTGGGCGCTGCAGCTCCTGAGGACTGAGTGCGACGGGAAAGCATTTTCTAAGCCACTGTCATCCCATTTGAAGGACACCTGGGCCTCAACAGGTAAATGTTTGGTGGGGGGGGGGGGGGGAAGCAGGCAGAGTCCAGGCACTGTGACTTCTCTAAAACGTGGTCTGCTCATCCAAAACACCCTCTGTTCAAACTGTAAAAAACACCAGGGGCCTTCCTGGCGGTCCAGTGGTGAAGACTTCACCTTCCAGTGTACCAGAGAGCTATGATCCCATGTGCCTCAGGACCCCAAACACCCCAAAACATAGAGCAGAAGCACAATTTAAGTGAATTCCATAAAGACTTGAAAAATAGTCCACATCAGAAAACCTTTGCAAAAAAAAAAAAGTAAAAATCAAAACTCACAAAGTGGCATCAGAGGCATTTAGCCATTGGGTCAGCTGGCTCCTCAGAACATCTTCGCTGGCCCACGTGATTAAGGATACCTGCACCCAGAAGGTGGCGTGTCTGCCTTGCGCGCTGTGGGATCCCTCTCTGGCTTCTCTCATGCCACCGGTGTACCCAGAGAACCTGCTCTGCAGAAATGAAGACAAGCGCGCAGCCACCCTCTGTCGCCTCGTCTGCCCAGACTGAGAGGAAGGGATGTGTGAAGAAACTTGGCGGCGGGATGCCTGTGGGGCAGTGCGGGCAGTGGGTGGTTCGGCGTAACTGGAGCCCGAGATCTGGGGAGCCGGAGGGAGGGTGGACTCGGGCCGAGTCACGAAAGGCCTCGAGGCTGCGCCGTCCCCTCGCCGGGCACAGGGAGGTGGCGAGGGTCTGGGCGGCGGCGGGCGCGTCCGCACGGGCATCCCACGGAGCGCTCCCTGGCTGCCCGCTGGCCGTGGGCTGGACACAAGGCCAGGATGGGTGTGGGGCAGACAGACCAGTTAGAGAGACCGTGGAGGCCTCAGTGAAGGGGGCAGCGGAGACTTGGAAAGGAGGGGGCGCTTTTCAGAGAAATGGACGGCAGACCCCCCTCCTGGGCACAGTTCAATGAGCCGAGTCTGTACTTTTTAAAAGGCCTGTGCCCCAGAGGCCCGGAGCTCTCTGCTTGCTCTGGACGCCTGATAAGCAAACTCCCTACGTTGCAAGTCCCAGATAAATAATGACCGAAGGAATCACACCAGGGCTGCGGCCCTCCGCACCCCGGGGAGCTGGGGTTTCCCTCGGAGTCTGCAGGTCAGCGTGACACCATCCGTGGGGGGCTGGAAGGGCCAGGGGCCCTGGGAGGTGGGCCCCGTGTTGGCCTGTTTATGTCGTCTTCAGCCTCCCCACCACTTTTGGACTCGGAGTTTCCCACGGAGACGTGCTTCCTAGAATAGCTGCTACAGATTCCATAGGAAAGGCTTCACTTAGTATACCACCAACTTAATCCCACTCATGTCTCCCACCTAGATCTTGTTTCTTGACAGTTTTCTCTGCGGGCTACTGCGATCAGTCAAAAAGAAGTCTGGATTGCCAGCCAGATCCACAGCAAAAGGTGTCATCAGCACACACCTTTTCCCTAGTCCTCTTCCTTTTAAATCAAAAATTCTGTATAACATTTTCCATCAGTGAAAGAGAGAACCACCACTTCCTAGCTTTCTCTCTCTCTCTCTTTTTTTTTTTTTTGTTCTTTTTTTTTTTAAACAACAGACCTTCCTTTTGGATTTACATCAGCATTTAGCTAACTTCCTGAACACTTCACCCACTTCCTGAACTTATTCTGAGGAAGGAAAAACATCCTCCTTCAGAAATAAATGCAAATAATCACGGAGATTATTTTTATTAAATAAATAGTGTAAATGCGATGGAATTTCCTGTGCAATGTACGTTTACTGTGGATATTTCAACAAGAATCTGTTGTGATCTCGTAGGAACCGTTTTATTTACAGATAGTCTGAGGGATTATAACCGTTATGTAGCTACTCAAGAGATAAGTTCTGAACATTTGCAATTTTTTTTTTCTGTTTGCTGTTGTTAAAAAGTTTTTGTTTTTTGTTTTTTGTTTTTTTTTTACTAAAAAAATCGGAACACTAGGGGGAATGGTTTTCTTTAGGTCAGCAATTCTGAAGCTTTCTTTCTTTTCAAACAGAGTTTTCATGACCCCTAGTGGTGAATAGGGGGAAGGATGGCTTTAGAGCTGAAGGTGAGTGTCTCAGTGATCAGTGCTTTTTAGTTACGCATTTGTCCGGAAGAAAATGGGCTTCCCTGGTGGTTCAGAGGGTAAAGAATCTGCCTGCAGTGCAGGAAACTCTGGTTCAATCCCTGGATTGGGAAGATTCCCCTGGACTCCAATATTCTTGCCTGGAGAAACCCATGGACAGAGGAGCCTGGTGGGCTATGGCCCATGGGGTCCCAAAGAGTCGGATGCTGAACGGCTAATACTTTGGGAGAAAACACACTCATTCCAAACACTTCTTAATGCCCATACTGCCTAAGAACCCTGTGAAGTGATGATATGGAAATGACAATCCTTAAACATTTCTGGTGATGTTCTGTTCTTTTGATTAATATTTCTTCAGAGCCAGCCCACTGCCTAGCCAACCCACACCTAAACTGGTTCAGTTTAAGAATAAATGAAAAATCTGAGACTTTACAGAGAGAAATACATCAATATGTCAAGTCCGGATCAGGTTCTCTTCAATTTTTTTTTTTTTTTTTCCTTAATGAAGGCAGTCTCTCTGTATTTGTAAGAGGTTCGATTTGGTCATCTGGTTGTGGAGAAGAATGGTATTTATCTGTTGAGTAAATCTCATGGACACCTTAGAGATATGTTTTAGGCTGACTGTCCCTGTCTTTTTTGTTTTCATTTTTGGCCACACCACATAGCATGTGGGATCTTAGTTCCCCAACCAGGGATTGAACCCCAGGCTCCTTGCCTTGGAAGGGCAGTGTCTTAACCACTGGACCACCAGGGAAGTCCGCTTGCCCCCTGTGATTTATGAAGGGTTTACAGGGACTTTCTTAATGTTCTCCAGTATGTTTGAGCAGCAGCTAACTTTTAGAGGAAGTGGTGATAAGAATCTGAGAAAGGCTTTTCATCCCCACGTTCCTTGCACCGCCGTCCAGCAGAAGGCTGCCTGGGACAGATGGATATCTAGCCTCCTCGCGCCCTCCCCAGGAAGAGGCTCCCTCATCTATTACCCAGGCTGACTTTCTTCCGCAGGTCCATCCAAGGCCTCCAGAGCCGGGCCCCTTCCTCTTTCCTCCAGCCCCATGGCCCACCTCCTCCTCAGACTCAATGTACGTTCTAACTGATTCCAACTCCCTGTGTGTCTCACTGTTCTCTGCCTTTGCACATGCAGGTCCCCTCAGCCAGGAGACCCTGTCCCCGCAGGGCTCTGGGCTCACTCCTCAAGACCCCATGTAAGCGTCCTCTCTCTCAGGAGCCTTGAATGATCCCTCCTGGCTGACCTTATGTCCCCTGTGTGTCACCTTTCAAACACCTATAATTGCACGTTATCTCACATTCTATTGTTTGCAGACGCGTCTCCCCTAAACGTCTGTGATAGTCTCAAGGATAAGGACTGTCCTGCCGCCTAACTCCCTGGCTTGTCCAGGTGCCCAGGTAATGTTCACTGACGTCCTGACATCAGCGTCTGTAGGCTTAGACTGTTCCGCTGGGCTGCAGTGTTTTGATAGGAGGGGGGGAAACGTGCAGCTAGTTCAAAGGTAGAGTTGACAGTCAAGAGAGTAGGTCTTTGAAAGTGTATAGAACCACTTATTAGCTCAAATGGCCTCAAACTTCATCCCCTGAGGAATATGATGGTTTCACATAAATGATCTCTAAGTTTTTGTCTGGGTGCAAACTTGTGGGTTTCTATAACTGGAGGAGCTGTGATCTAAAGGTTTTTAAAACTCAGAGGTCAATGCAGGAAGTCTATAATTGCACCCAAAATATATTATGTACACATGTGTCTTCGGGGAGTGAAATGGTCCAGTCTTTCATAGGTGGGTGTATGATCACAAAAGATTGAATACCACTGATGAAGAATTGTTGACCAAAAAGGATGCTCGTAATCTTTATTGGCTCAGTAGGAGTTGACACCTTCTTGAGTGCTTCACGGGGGAGGCTTATAAACCAGCGATTCTGTTGCTTTTCCTCCAGTGTCCTTTGTTAGGGCACCTACAGGTCTGGTCTACGATTTAAAGAGAGAGGTTAAGGGCTTTTGGCTGTGTTCCATTGGTGTTGAATTAGTGTCACTCTCCTTAGGTTCTAAAGGTAATATGAAGGTATGGTCAGAACTCTTGTCAACCCAAGATTATGTAGCATTCCCCACATAAAGAATTTTTCCTGCTCCAGGAAAGCTATCCCAGAGTGCTCACCAATCCTGCCCAAGTGGTCCAGGCTGAACCCTCTGTGCGGGTAACCTACATATGAAACGTGACTATAAAACATTCTGCCACTGTGGGCTGGGCTTACAAACTGCGAGGATGCTTTTGCTCCTGGATGGGAGATACTACCTGTAAGGTGAACTGCGGTCAGGGGAGGCAGGCTTCATGCTTGTGTGAGCTGGGCAGTTATTCAGGGTCTCAGGCTTTAATGCTCTACTGTTGCTGTCTTAAAGTTCTTAATACTTTTTGGATAAAAGCTTCTGTATTTTTACTTTGCACCTGGTCCTGCAAATTGTCCTGCAGGACCTGAGTGGCCGCACATACCTGAAGCAGCATCGTGCGGTGGAGAGGGCACGAGCTTTGGAGTCAGCAGCTGCGCGTTCACATCCCCGTTCTGTAATTTCCCAGCTGTGTGAGTGTGACTAAGGTTGCTTAACTTCTCTGGCCTTCAGTGTTCTTATATCTAAATCGGTGATCATGGTGACCATAATATCTAACTTCTATAATTGTCAGGGCTGTTAAACAGTACGTGTGATGGCAATGGCGGATAATGATGACAGTAATTTAAAATTAACAAGAAAGAACAAAATACATGAATGTGGAAAGGAGACCAAAACAAACCAAAAAATCCATACATGCACACTTTTAGAGGTGGGAGGAATCCTAAAGATGAGCTCTTAGGTCCTGCTCTTTTGACCTTTGTCCTTCCACAGTCCTTTGATTTAGACCACTTAAAAATATTATATTGTCCTTATTTTCCTTTATTATACATCTTTTTCTGCATTCAACTTGGAGACCTCCCCCCTGCCTCCCCAGATTTGGGACTGTGTCTATCCTTAAAAAAAAAAATACCAAACCAAAAAACTCTTCACAAGGCCTGTCATAAAATAGATGTTTAATAAATATTTGTTGAAAGAGTAAACTAGTTCATCATTTGATTTTATTGTTGAGAAGCTGAAGCCCAGAGAAACTGAGTGAGTTACCCAGGCTCACAAAGCTTACCCTTGGCAAAGCCAGAACTGGAGTCCCTTATGCTTGTTTGGAAAGGAGTGCTTGGGGCCCTGTGGGGACCCATGTAGACACCATCTTTGTTGCTTGCTGAGTTGCAATGATCAGATTACCTGGTGAATGTCTGAGTCTTTTGTGTAAGTGTATATTTACTTATTTGGAGTAAAAAATCAGAGGGCAAGGCCAGCCACTGGGGCTAGAATGAATATCCTTGGGACTATCCCAAAGAACTTCTAGAGAAAGCAATCCATTAGCCCCCTTTACTGAGCTCACAAGCCTGGCTCCCCTCTCTCCTTCCCCAGATCCTCCCATTCATGAGATTCTCCTCTGTGATGCTGATGTCCTGCCTGTGATTGATCACCCACTGCTATCTCGGGGACCTCAGAGTGACCTTCTGGGTGCATTTGTAAGGAAAAAAAAAGTTAAAAACTTGAAGGCATCCTCTGGTTGGCCTGAGATAAGGGGGGCTGAGAGTCATCTTTCATTAGAAAGATGGAAAAGCCATCATTGGAAAAACAATCTAAACAATTAAAAAAAAAATCCATAAGAAAATATTCTCCTTCCAGATACTTAAAAGATACTTCTCATTTCAGCCACCCCGCTGACATGATACCACCCCTAGGCAAGAAAAACAAATGTGTTTGTGAGAGGAGGAGAGGAAGGGAAGAAAGG